TTAAGCAAACTATTCTCTAAATAGTAAGAAATTAATATTCCATAATTTTCTGAATATTAATGCTGTACAGGAAGAATTCTGAGAAAAGTGCTACTGCTTGTATCTCAAATGCCCTCCTAATGACCCATGTTGTAAATGTCTGCTTCCCAGAGTGGTACTATTGGGAGGCAGGGCCTCATGGCAAGCTTCTTGGTCACTGGTGAAGAATGAGGAACCAGGCCCCCTTCTTCTCCTTTGCTTCCTGGGCATAAGATATGGTTTTGCTCTGTCATGTGCTCCCACCATCATGTGTTACTTCAGCACAGGCCCCAACACAATGGAGCCAATCATAGACAAAAACCACTAAAATTTCAAATATAAGTTGATTATCTCAGGTATTTTGTATAATGACACAAAACTGACACACACTGCATTTTTAAAAATTATTTAACTTTATCATATAGCAGCATTTATTAGCAAAATACATATGGTAATACTTTACTCCCTCACCCTTGTTAGCAGTTAGTGAATAGACAAGTAGGGACATAATCATCTAGACTTGCTATTTGAGAAAGTAATACATAATGGTCTTTGCACAGGTGGCACTTAAAAAGTTTACTGGCTGGCTGAAGCTTGGTGTAAACATTCTTGAGCTTTGTTCTATGCTAGAGCAGTGCTCAGTCTTACTACTCTCTACTACTGAGACATCGCCTTTCTGTGTACTCTACCCAATGTCGTGTGAATATTCTAGTGTGGCTGATAGGAACAGATACTATAATCTGATCTTTCATTACTGCTAGACACTGTAACTTCTAAATCCTTCAAGTTGTTCTTTTTCTAGTCTTATGCAGGTTTCTCATAAACATGCTAATCAGTACTTAGTTGAGTATACTCAAAGGGGTTCCCTTTGCAAGCTTCTGGAGTTTTGTCTCTTTATAGCTTTCTCATGTTTGGTACTAGCCTACAATCTCTAGCTTCTTTAGTTTCTTAAGATTCTAAAGCTCCACTTCACCTCCACACTCTAGGGCCTGCTTCAATTTCCCCTCACCTGGAAATTATTTCAAAGCAATTACTCTAGCACAAGAGAGGGCTCATCACATGTCTTTTCCATCTCTCAGAGATCATAGTTTTTCATTACCTGATCTTCAGTGGGACATAAACTGTTGCATTTATTTGCCCACATTTTGGTTGCTGTAGGCACAGAGAAAAGTGATAAATCTGATCTCTGTTTTACTAGATGGGATAGTACATCTTTTCATTTTATTTTCTCATTAGTTGCAAGGTTTAACAAACCCTTCACTCAGCCAGTTCTTTTGCATACTCTAATAACTACTCATTTCAGAGTACACAGTCTTGTCTATAAAAAAATTATGATTTTAAAAATAGCATTTAGGACTGAGCATTTTAAAATGACCATTACATCTCAGCAGTTCATAATGCACCTTGAAGGGGAGAGAAAGACATTAGCTCCTGATGTCCAAGTTTCACTGTTTGATAAACTAAGAATACCCATCTTACAGAAGAGTATATATTTGCTTTTGGGAAACAGTGATAATTTTAGCATTTTCTTGTTCCTTAATGTTACTGATACTTTCAATCTAGATAAGTTATGTTCATCAAAATGAAAAGAACAGTCTCAGAAGAAAGCTGAATTTTTACACAGGAACTTTTCTGTAATAATAGCAAATTTCTTTAGGTTTCACTATACTTTGAGTTTTGTCCTACATGCTTGAAAGACTTTCTCTTCAAGAAAGCATTAAAATCTTATGAAATGTGGTCCACTATGGTTCTCATACACACATAAGAAAACAGACTCAAAGACTAGAAGTTATGGTGTAGATATTCAAACCAAATTTGGAAGTATGATTTTGTTCTTTGGTATCCCAGATATTCTTCCAAGTACTAAGACTATAACTGTGATAGCTGTGTGTGTGTGTGTGTGTGTGTGAGAGAGAGAGAGAGAGAAAGAGAGAGAGGGAAAGAGACAGAGACAGACATATACAGACAAAGAGGAAAGAGAGAGATCTAATAACATTAGAAGTTTGTGGGCTGAAGTATAGGGTCAATGACAGAGCAAAGGCCTAGCACGTATAAAGACCTGGGTAAAATTACTAGAATTTCAGAACAAAACAAACAAAAAAACCAAAAGAAGTTTATACATAAATTTTGTGTATGGAGCTATGTTAAAAGTATAATGGAAATCATTAATTTGTGTTTTTCAATAAAAAATATGAAATTATTTTCTCATATAAATATAGAAGGTGCTTGCCCTGAAATTATCTATCTTCAAAATACATCCTCTAATACAAACTCTGGGCATCATATGAATATGATAAAACAAGGTTTCAGCTCTTAATAGATGATCCTGCTTCACTAAAATGTAGTGACAGTATTAAAATCATGAGTCATTACAATATCCTTAAAGAATAGTATTATACTTGGCCAAGTGTTAGTTGGATATTTATTTTTATAACCTTAATATTTGTAGAAGAACAGTGTACTAAGCTTTTGGCCAACTCCAATGTTCTTGCCTATTTCCACCATTCTAAAATGTCTTTGCAACATGGTACACTTCAGAAAGAGATGCATAAGAATAAATGTGAACCAAATCAAACAAAATGCAAAGCTCAAACACTTGAGCTACCTGGATATCTTTCCACTTATTTCCGTTTAGAAATATAGCACTTTTGTGCTGGCATCAGGGCTCCAGTGGTGGAATAAAAGCCAAGCAAGCAAGTTGAACATAAGTAAGGTTCTGTGTTCCAACTCTGAAGCCACACACACACACACACACACACACACACACACACAAGTTCTCCAGTGGTGGAATAAAAGCCAAGCAAGCAAGTTGAGCATAAGTAAGGTTCTGTGTTCCAACTCTGAAGCCACACACACACACACACACACACACACACACACACACACACACACACACACACGTTTTTCTGACAAGCAAGTTGAGCATAAGTAAGGTTCTGTGTTCCAACTCTGAAGCCACACACACACACACACACACACACAAGTTTTTCTGACAAATATATGTGTAAAATATTCAAGTCTGCAAACAAAACTATACATACCTCTACAGCAGGTACGATGTCAATGCCAACAGTTAGAAATTCTTCAAACTTCAAAAATGGGTTAAAGCAGCTGCCAACATCAAGTAATCTGATTTTTCCTGAGGCTTGGAGCAACCTAAAAATAATACACATCATAAAAGACAAATGGAAGATTCTTCATAATATTAAAGGCAAACCAAAAATAAAGAATAAAAATTTTGAGTATTTGAGAATAAACACCATGTAGACTATATCTATTATTACCGTATTTGGCGTTAAAATGGAAAAGCTTAAAAATTCACTGTATATTATTCACTGTATATTATTATTTATGATCTATTAAGTAAAAAATACTAGTTTGAAAAAGGTTTGTAAAAGGTGGCATCTTGTTTTATATTTTCTGTATGTCTTGTATAGTGTAGTATAACAAAAGATCAGTGTATTTAAGCTTTCACAGTATCACATATCATGCACTATGGGTAATTCCACTTTTTACTCATCCAAGAGTTTTTTTTTTTAAGGCAAATGACAACTTATTGTGATAGAAAATGTGAAAGGATCTTATAACCACATATTTTCTTCTTCTTCTTCTCTTTTCTTTCTTTTTTTTTTTTTTTTCAGTTACTGGGGCTTGAACTTAGAGCGATGTACTCTTGCTCAGCTTTTCCAATCAAGGCTGGTGCTCTACTGCTATGCCATGCTTCCAGTTCTGGCTTTTTACTGGTTAATTGATAAGTATTTCAAGGATTTGTCTGCTTAGGCTGGCTCCAAATCTCAATTATCAGATCTCAACACCCTAAGTAGTTTAGAATTAGAGTACGAGCCAATAGCAATTGGCTCCATGAACATTTTTGACATAATGTAGAGGAAAAAAAATCCACTCACAAATTAATTCTTAATAGCCAATTCAATGTCTTTGCACTTTGTCTCAATAATTAAAAAGACTAAAAGGAAAAGGCATGAATAGAATATTTTTTTTGAGGGGGGTGGTTGTGGGGCTTGAACTCTGGGGCTAGGCGCTGTCCCTCAGCTCTTCAGCTCAAGGATAGTGCTCTACCACTTGAGCCACAGTGCCACTTCCTGTTTTCTGGTTGTTAACTGGAGATAAAAGTCTCACCCACTTCCTACCTGGGCTGGCTTTGAATTGTGATCCTTAGATCTCAGCCTTCTGAGTAGCTAGGATTATAGGCTTGAGCCAACAGTGCCAGACTAGAATACTATTTTTTTTTTTTTTTAAAGATATGAGGTATCTCTGTATCTTTGTTTTATTTGTCTTTTGTTTGTTCATCCATAGTGCTGAGGTTTGATTCAGGGTTTTGTATATGCTAACAAACACTCTTCCAATGAGCTACATTAGTCTTCATGCCTTTGTTTTAAAAGTATATGAATTACACCTGCTAGGCAGTTAGTAACTTATAAATAAAATTCTTTTGTAGAAACATTTGAACCATTGCTTTCTAACATGACACCTGCTAGTGTTTTAATATATAAGATATTCATTAAATATTCAATGAATTCTAAAATCATACTATACATATTAATGAATAGTACAGCCCATGATTTAAAAGTGTCATTCCAAATTAAAGATTTTGTGAATAGAAAGTAAACTTAGAATGCTATTTTTAAGTGAGGAAAATTTCCTATTGTAAGGTTTTTCATTTCTAAAACTAGTGGGAAAAGAGGAGCAAATTTAATAAAAAGGTAACTCCATGTGTTCTATATAGCAACAAATAACAATGAAGGAAAACAGTGGATTTTGTTGTTCCCAATCCTGCAGTCCTAATGCCTATTAAAACAATATGAGGTTTCAACTTCGGACATTTTCCTTCCTTTCTTCTTCTCCCTTCCCCTCCTTTTTCTGTCCCTTTCTTGCCCCCCTCCCCCTTTTTGACACAGGGTCTTGCTATGTGATCTAGGTTGGCACAAAACTCATTGGCTGTTTCAATGTGCCATCCATATCAGGATAAAAAAGTAAGTCATGCCGGGCGCTGGTGGCTCACACTTGTACCCATAGCTACTAAGAAGGCTGAGATCTGGGGATCACAGTACAAAGCCAGCCCAGGCAGGAAAATCCATGAGACTCTTATCTCCAATTAACCACCAGAAAACCAAAGTGACACTGTGGCTCAAGTGGTACAGCATTTGCCTTGAGCTGAAGAGCAGAGGGACAGCATCCAGGCCCAGAGTTCAAGCCCCACAACCAACAAAAATTTTTAAAAAGTAAGTCGTTATTATACTGTCAGTGCCAGTGATAGTGGACCAAAGGAAATGTTTCACTGTTTCAACAGTGAAAGACACAGAGTGGATAGATAGAAGCAGAATGGATAAAAATCTTGTCACGTAGGAAGGTTTTGCTTGAGACTTTTAGCTAAAGTGCTCTTTAACTCCTAAGTCACTCTAGTACTCAAGATGGCCCTTTTCAGATTTGGGTGTCACTGCTCTTCCCAAGACTACTTCAGGATTGCCTTTACGATTTGTTTTATCTGAAAAGCAAACAGGGCTGGGAATGTGGCTTAGTGGTAGAGTGCTCACCTAACATACATGAAGCCCTGGGTTCAATTCCTCAGGACTACATAAACAGAAAAAGCCAGAAGTGACATTATGGCTCAAGTGGTAGAGTGCTAGCCTTGAGCAAAAGAAGCTCAGGGACAGTGCCCAGGCCCTGAGTTCAAGCCCAGGAATGGCAAAACACACAAACAATAAACAAACAAATGAAAAAAACAGGACTAATCTATGATTCAAGTGGTAGTGCTTGCCTGTCAAGCACAGTCCCTAAATGCAATCCCTAGTGTTCAAACAGAAGGTGAGTGATCCTTACAAGGACATACAAAAGTAATATTTAATGTTGAAGCATTATACAATTTACCTTTCAATCAATCCAACACAATGTCTACATATACATTTGGACTCTAGCCATTGTTATCTTCTAATTTTGTTAATGTGGGTTATGATAACATTAAAAATGAATTCATTTTATTTGGTTGGTTCAGATAATGAAAGAAATTACACTATAGACATACATGTATAAACATTAAAAATGAATTCATTTAGTTGGTACAGATAATAAAAGAAATTACTCCATAGACATACATACACAAAATAAATGTGTACTTATAATAGAATGGGTAACATTCTTGATAAGCCACCTGCTTAAACTTCAAACTCAAATTTAGGTACCACCTTTAACATGACACAAACCTCTCAAGGTCAATAACTTAATTAGTAAAGCCAAGAACAGTCTCTCTTAATTTGTATCTTATAGATACAAAACCTAATTTGTTAGTTTTAAAAAGACACTGAAGAATCCTGCATTATCTACATTCTATATTAGCTTAATGTAATTTTGCAAATGTCTAATAAGCTTATATTTTCATTAGGTCAAATTACATTCCAGTTACTGAACTAATAATACAACTTGTTTTAGATAGTAAATCTTCAAAAGTTAGTGATACAGTTCGTAGAACTACATTGAGAATCTAATAACCTGAGATTAGCACAATTTTTTTTTTTTTTGGGTCCGGTCATGGGGCCTGAACTCTGGGCCTGGGTGCTGTCCCTCAGCTCTTCAGCTCAAGGCTAGCGCTCTACCACTTGAGCCACAGCGCCACTTCCGGCTTTTTTCTTTTTGCTTATGTGGTGCTAAGGAATTGAACCCAGGGCCTCATGCATGCAAGGCAAGTGCTCTACCACTGAGCCACCTTCCCAGCCCCAGATCAGCACAAATTTTTTGGAATGCTTTCACTCTTACAAAGGAAACTTTGTGATTTCAGTCTGAAATACTCTGTAGTCATCATTTTCCTTTGCACATAGTCTCACTAATAGAAATCTGAATCATAGTATTAGTCTCGTTAAGATTTGTCAATTGTATTGAACCTATATAATCACCATTGCTTTTATTTTCAACAACTAATGCTCTGGGTCTTAAATCAAAAACTTGGTGCTTCCCATTTAAATAGCTCTAGGACTACACAGTATTATTTTACTATTTACAGAAAAAGAGACTCAATAAGTTATTTCCCTAATACTTGAGTACCTGCTAAAATTGAGAAAGGAACTGTCTTCCTAACTTTTAACAAAGGAACTTTTAAGACAGGAACAAGTTGGTAAGTATAGCATAGCCTTTAACATGTCTTTTTAAACCAAAAGAAAAAGTAGGGATGAAACCATTTTAGAATTGGCAATGAACACAGCTTATATGATATCTTCAAAACCTTTATCAAACATTGTTCAAAGTAGGACTTGATACCTTGATAATTTTACTAAGTCTCCAGATTTGGCATTTATAATTACAAACTAATTCTTCACATTCAGAGGCGCGGGTGTGTGTGTGTGTGTGTGTGTGTATTTTGTGTGTGTGTGTGCGTATTGTGTGTGTGTATAATATATTGTAAACTACCAGAAACACACTACTGAAAACTTTTATTGAAATACTAAATATTATATTTTGATTCTAAATTATGTTAAGACATTTAAACTAGGAACTAGTGGCTCATAACTATAATCCTAGTTACTCAGAAGGCTGGGACCTAGATAATCAAGGTTTGAGCCAGTCCAGGAAAAAAGTTAGAGGAACTCCATCTCCAATTCACTAGCAAAATGTCAGATTGAAGGCGGGGCTCAAATGTAGAGTGGCAATTGTGAGCAAACAAGATGAGAGTGCAAGGTCCTGTTCACGCCCTGGTACTGGCATACACACACACAAAAGGCATTTGAACTTCTCCCTTACATCTTTTGCTCACTAGGAAAACTCACTTTTAAAAATCCCAAAGCCAGGAAGTCTCAGTTACTTGGAGAGAGAGAGAATGAGAGGTTTGAGGATAGCCTGGGCAAAAAAAGGGGCCAGACACCATTTCAACAAAAATGCTGAACATTGTGGTGTTGCCCCTTTGGTACTAGCTATGTGGAAGAACATAAGTAGAAGGATCAACTATTAAAAATAGGTAAATATGAATGCATGAACTATAAAATTTCTGTAAGGTTCTTTTGTTTTAGTCTCTTTCATTATTTGTGTACCCATTGTTGTATTGGGTAGAAGTATAACTATATAATGGCTTATACTGGTCAACGTTTTAAAATATTTTTCTAAATTTGAGATATAGAATGTTTATATTTTCATCCTTTGTAGTGACCTATGAATAAAGGAAAAGATGCCTTATCCTTTTCTACTGATCAGAGATATGTTAATTCATTTTCAAATGTAATTATTCAGAAGTACACAGTATTTTCGACAAATATAAACCAAATCAACCAAAGATAATGTTATGTTGATATGTAAAGTTTTCGAATTGCTTAAGAATTTAATTTACTTTCATAGTTTTTCAGGATTTATCAAGAACATGTCTAGAATTAGTAGAGCTTAGCATTTCAGACAATAAAATACTACTTGATACAAAATATTCATTCTGATACTAGAATACTTAAATAAATTTAATGCTATTAATAATTGAATTATGGTACTCATATCCTTGTAAAATTTGTGCATGGTTTCCCTCATCTGTGGAAGCTAGAATGTGCCAATATATCTATAAGTAAACACACTAGGTGATAAACAAAAGATTACTAATGAATTAGCTGAAGTGTAAGAGACTTGATGGAGACTGCAAATAGTATAATTCTTTAAAAAGACAAAATCAAAGCCCAACGAAGTAAGTACCATGTAATGGGAACTTGCAAGAGGGGAGGGGTAGGAGAATGAACAGGAAAGTGTATTCATAAACTATTTCAGTGAATGGCAACTCCTTTTTACAAGTACTTAAAATATTCAAAAACTATTCAAAAATAGTTTACTTATTAATGTTGTATTACTAGCAAGCTAACTTTTATACCAACAGTAAAACGGATTATTAATCAATTTGATTACTATTAATAACCCTTCATTTTTTCCAAAGTATATTTTTATTGGCTTCATCTTTTTTCTTATTGGAAATTTCTTAGAGACTAGAACTACATAAACAGTTTAAGTAGATTTTTCTGTTTTGATTCTTTGTATTATTAGCTGAATAAAAACAATATTTAATAAACTATTTTTCTCATTTTTAGTAAAACCATAGAACTACTAGTTTTCCAGATGTCTTAAAGTTGTATTCTAGTTTTATGCCTAATAATAACACAAATGTACTTTCAGTCTTAATCTATTAATAGGGAAGCAAGTAAACCTCCCATTACTTAATATAAGCCATTGTTCTGTTTGACATTAGCACAGCTAGTCATGGCAATGTTAATGGAAATGGAAAAAGTATACTTACTCAGTTATAAATTCAGGGTTTGTAAAGTTGAGGTTGGTTAAATGACCTTCAAGTTTAGAAGACTCATGCATGTTTAAGGCTGGGGTGGTCTTAGTGGTGAGTACCGCTCTTTTTTCATCTTTTTCAAGTGCTTTTCTTTTCCCACCATTTTGGAAATATTCTCTGCATACACTACAAGTCAAAATAAAGTTGCATTTAAAAGTACTGGCTAGGATGATAAAATATGAAGAAGAAATTTCAAATTAGTCTTGTTTTTAAAATGTCAAAGAACAAGTCTGAGTACCATGTAGCACATATATATTGTTAAAAATACTACACAACATAGAATAGGAAATTAAATTCATTAAAAACTGTTTTTAGGCAAGCAGAACAAGGATGTGAGGAACAATGTCTATTCCTCTCACATATATTCAGGATACCATTAGTTAAACTTTAGCTTTTCTTAGCTTCTATTATGTATGATTTCTTTGACTTATTCTAATGCAATTTTAACTAGAATTATACATGAGTTAAAATTAATTCATCATTAATCCAGTATTAAGTACATAGGTAAAAAAAAAAATCAAGAAGCCACCCCTCAAGCAGTTCAGACTTGTGAAGGAGACAAATAATTATCTAACAGAGTAAACAAAATACAACTGAGAGAAAAAAAATGATGTGTTTATTTATATTTATTTGTGAAATACTTAATCCTATCTAAAATTACTAGTGAGTTTCTGATAGAAACAAAGTAGGAATGATTCAGGCCAAGGAATAATGTTAGTTAAGGAGGGAAGACCTTTCCAGGTGGATGATATCATAGGTAAAGGCATGGAAAAGAAGGAGAGTGGACCTTGCAGCTGAGGTTATATCTATGCCAGGACAGTATTAAAAGACTAGGTAGAAAATGGATGGCTGAATCCTTACAAAAGTGAAAAAAAACTTACAGACCTATCTTCCTTCCTTCCTTCCTTCTTTCCTTCCTTTCCCCATCTCTCCTCTTTCTTTTTTGATAAAAGGGTAGGTATGAGACTTAATTTAAGCTCAGGCCCTAGCTCTTAATCTGTTGTTTGTAAACTAGAAAACCAGAAAAATAAGTAGTGTACTTCTAGTCCAAATCCAAAGGCATGAGAACCAGTTAATTAAGTTCTAATCCAAGCATGAAAGTTTAAAAACAGAAGCTTAAGTACCTCTGAGGGGCAGAGTGAAGAAGAGAGGAAGATTAAGAAGAAAAATGGGATTAGGGATGTTTTTTCCCCTTTTTTTTGTTTGATTCAGGCCATTAATAGATTGGAAGCTTCTCTCTCCTACTTGGAACACAGAACATGTGGCTCAAGTGGCAGGAGTACCACCAGTGAGCAAAAGAGCTGCGTGAGAGTTTGAGGTCTTAAGTTCAAGCCCCAGTTCTGGAACGCACAGTTTTTCTATTAAGGCCGAAATCATGAATAAAAGACCTGATAAACTGAGATTCATTAAAATTATTTTTTTCTGTTATATGAAGATACTGTCAAGGGAATGAAATTATAATCAACAGCAAAAAAAATTGTAAGACATTCATGATTAAAAAAAAAACTTACCTAAAATATACAGAGAACTCTTAAAATAAGAAAACCACCCAGTTAAAAAATAGACAAAGAACTGGACACAGGTGGCTCACATCCGTAATGCTAGTTATTCAAGAAGTTCAGATCTGAAGATTATGGTAAGAAACCAGCCCAGGTGGGAAAGTTTGTAAGAGTCTTCTCTGCAATTAACCACCAAAAGAAAGCCAAAAGCTGAGGGACAGTGCCCAGGCCCTGAGTTCCAAGCTCCAGCATCAGCACACAGTCACAAAAAAAAAAAAAAAGACATGGAGACCTAAACAGACAACTCACCAAAGATGTAGAGATGTCAAACAAGAATATGTTGCTTCTCACATGCTGTTAGGAAAGGCAAGTTAAAACAATAAAATATCTATCTATCTATCTATCTTGGAAGGGTCAAAATATAGAACACTAACAGTAAATGTGTCAAAGCAAAAGAAATGTTCATTCATAGCTGGTGGGAATATAAAATGGCACAACTACTTTGGAAGATTCTTTCTTACAAAGTTACTATATTATCCAACAATTAATTAGGTCCTTGGTATCTATCCAAAAGAACTGAAAACTTATGTCAACATAATTGCTTATGGTAGTTTTATTCATAATTACTAAATTTGCAAGCAATCAATATTCCCATCCATGGGTGGATGGATATAGTCCCATATCCAGACAATGGAATATAGAGGTAAAAAGAAAAAAGCTATCAAGCAATGAAAAGATATGGCCTTAAATGTATACTACCTAAGTGAAAAACAAGCTAATCTCAAAGGCTACACAATGTAGGATTCCAACTAAATGAAATCTAGAAATCATTCCAGAAATGAAAAACTGTGAATACAGTAAAAAGGTCAGTGGTTGCTGGGACAGTAGAAATGAACAGATGGAGATGATAAACAGAGGATTTTTAGGGCAGAGAAATAATTTTGTATGATACAATAATGGCACATACATAGTACTGAATAACTTTAAAGCTCTAAAATGTATAACATCATGAGCCAACCTAATAGAAATAATGGATTTTGGTAACAATAATATTTCATTGTAGATTCCACAATTCTAACAAAGTATACACCTCTGATAAAGACTTCTATTCTAGGGGATAGGGTAATGGGTGAAACAAGAAGGAAAAAGCTGTTAAAAGACATCTTTTAAAAAATATTTATAGCAAATAAAGGAAACCATGGGACCTATATTTCTTTGGGCCTGGCTTACTTCACTTACTAAAAAGTCAAAAGCTATGTACATATGACAATGTAAGATGATGTTAAGTGAAATGAACCCCAAGATAGGGACATAACTTGTTTTTACTTTCTTGCTATTGTTGTTAATGTATCTAAAATGTACTATGTGATTCTTTTGTTTGTTCTTTCCCCATGATATAAACGGTTTTCATTGTATTTGACATAGGTACTCTGCATCTTGTATATAAATTTTTCTAATTTGGGGAAGGGAAGGGAAATAACAAAATACTGAAACAAGGATTCAGACTGACCCATTGAAATAATGAGATATACAAGACACTATGTTGAAAACGAACTTTACAACTTGGGGGGAAGGAGGGAAGTTGGGGAGGTGGAGAGGAAAGGATGTTAGGGGAAAAACAAAGGAGGAGGTAACAATACTTGATAGGAAATGTATTCATTACCTTACTCATGTAACTGTAACCCCTCTTTACACTATTTTTACAATAAAAAAAAATTATAGTTTCCTGCTTGGGTACAATTATATATAGCATTAGATATGAGTTTTTTGAGAACCATTAAAAACCAAAAACATTATTTCATAAAATCACTCACCTACAACACCATTCAATGCGACCTTCGCCCTCACAAGTTTTTGCCCAATGATTATCTGCCAAGTTTTTCATTGCAACAGCATATTCACAAAGTGTTTCCTCATCTTCACAGTGTTCTCGCCAGATCTTATCAAAATCTCCCACTGCAAACAAACCAAAAGAGTAAGTTAAATTTTTTAAATTGTATAATCTAATTATTTTTAAAATACTTTCAAAATAAGTAAAAGAAAAATCATAAACTAAAATAGTATTCAAATTTTTATGCATTCCCTTTTTTTGTGTGTGTGGGGGGGCTGTATTGGGCTTTGAACTCAAGTCCTCATGCTTCCTAGGTACGTGCTGTACCTCAGAGTCACAACTCCAGCCCAGATGCTTTAAGGTTTCAACATTTAAAAAGTTCCTTTCTATACCTGACACCAGTGGCTCATGTCTATAATCCTAGTTACTCAAAAGGCTGAGATCTGAAGATTGCAGTTTGAAGTTATCCAGGGCAGCAAAGTCTGTGAGGTGCTTATCTCAAATTAACTATCAAAAAGCCAGAAGCAGAGCTGTGACTCCAGTGGTACAGTGCTAGCTTTTAGCAAAAGAAGCTCCAAAACAGCACCAGGCCCTGAGTTTAAACTCTAGGACTGGCACAAAAAAAAAAAAGGAAAGGAAAAAAAATTACCTTTCTGGAAACGGATACATTATTTTAATTTTGACAATATGATAGTCAAATAAATTTTAGCATTTTAAGCAGATGGATTTGTAAGCGTTCTCATAATAAAATATAAATAGATATGCAAAAGTTTTCAGATTATAAAGTGGTAACGATTCCAGACAATTTGGACTGGGCATTCAAGCATTAATTTTCTTGCTACCACTGGGCAATATGAATTTGCAAGAGAAGAGCAGATATATCTAAGCATGTTTCTTGACTATTATCTTCTTGGATCTCTACATATTACAAGCTCCCTATAACAAAAAGGAGTTGGTCAGGAGATGACAATGTGCATTACCAAACAAGTAAATATTTTTATTTATATACACAGGTACTTTAAAGAATACTGTACGTTAAAAAATTATACTCCTAGGGCAAACAAATTTCTTGGAAAAAACAATCATGCAAACCTCTCCAAAATCTTGAATTATGTTCTGAATTAAGACTCTAAGTTGACAATATTATTTATTCAGTAACTACTTTTTATTTGTTTATTTGGGGAAATACTGGGATTTTGAGTCAGGATAGTACTTCAGTTTGAACCTAAGGCTTTCCACTTGATAAGCCAGATATCTGACCACCGAACCATACTCTCAGCCCTTCCTGTTTTTCACTCTGTATTTGATGCCAGCTGAGGGAAGAAAAGCCTAAAACTGTCTATCTCCAATTAACCAGTAAAAAGTGTGCAGGTAGGATGATTCAAGTGTTAGAGCACTACCTGTGAGCAAAACAATTGAACTAAGGGCATGAAATCCAGAGTTCAAGCACTGGTATTGACAAAACCAACCAATCAACAAACAAAAGAATAAATCAGGAACTAAAACATCTTCAAATCCACCCAAAGGTCTACTGAATACAGTATAAGATATATTTAAGCACTTAAGCTAAATCAAAGTTTTCAATTAATAATTATGATTTATTTTAATACCATAGCATTTGTGAATGACAAAATCATTGTGATTAATAACACTTTTTTCTTATCCATTCCTATAAGTACCCTAAAAAAATTCAACGCATCCAAAAGGACAAAGTACACATCTCACTTTGCTACACAATAGAGAATCCAAACATTAGTTTTAGGAAGCATCATTATGATATATATCCTGATGTCTAACTTGAAATTAATAGTTAACAAGCATTTATGGCCAAACTAAAAGAATTAGAGAAGAAATCATCAATGTTTTATTCAAATACATAGCATAATAATCAACTTAAAGCTCTGTCTAGCTTAAAAGATAAAGTTGTCTGGTTGTCTGACAGAATTCTAGGACAACACTTGTTTTACTAGAACTTATATTTCTTATATTACCTTTACATTTATGAAAACCCATTGTAAAAGATAAATACATAATTTTTAATATTAGTGATTTGCCAAAACAAGTTCAATATGGAAATCATGGACCAAATTATCTGGAATCTCGATACCATAACTACTGCCATGTCACTTTCACAAAATATGTCACAATTAAACAACAAACATCTATAAAAAAGAAATGCCTTATAAAAGATAATGTATTCAACTTCATAAAACAAATACCACTGGACATAATCCAAGCACAGCAGTTCTCAAGAGTAGACATATTGTCCAAATGAAAAAAAAAAAATCAAAGAAATAATCAGAGTTAAAGAACAGTATAGGTGGATGCTGGTGGCTCACACCTGTGTAATCCTAGCTACTCAGGAAGCTAAAACTGAGGATCACAGTTCAAAGCCAGTCCAGGCAGGAAAGTCCATGAGACTTTCTGCCAAAAAAAAAAAAAAAAGTCAGTGGTAGAGCACATTTCCATGATCAAAAAAGCTAAACGACAGTGTCTAGGCCCCGAGTTCAAGACCCAGGAGCAGCACACAGACGCACAAATGCACAGACACATACACGCTACCTTAAATAACTGGAAAGATTTTTTTATTTAAAATACAATTTTCAATTTTTGAGCTTTGGCTCAAGTGGTAGAGTGCTAGCCCTGTGTAAAAAATGCTCAGGGTTAGCCTCTTACTCCTAAGTTCAGGCCCCAAGAAGGGAACCAAAAACAAAGAAGACAAGAAAAGATACTATAGATGAAGACACTATAGACTTGACAGACAGAATATTCCACCAAACATCTGCAGATTATATATTATTCCCATCAGCCAACAGAACTTTCTCCAAAATAGATTATATTATGACATAAAACAAATACAAGAAAATTAGAATGACTTAATACATTCATAAGATCATAATGAAATAAAATTAGAAATCAACAGTAAGAAAAACCACAAAAAATATCACTCCTAGAGATTAAACAATATACTTTTTAATGATCTGTGGGTTATTGAACAAGCTGGAGAAAGTTTCAAAATTCCTAGTATTAAATTAAAACACAAAATAACAAGCCCTGTTGGATACAATGGAAGTGGTTCTAAGAAGGATATTTATATTCACAAATGCCTGCATTAAAAAAAAAAAATCAGAAATATCTCCAAGTTTTAGAAAAATGAGAACAAGCCAATCAAAAAGTTAGTAGAAGGAAATGATAAAGAACAAAGGTGAAATTAATGAAATGAAAACTAAGAAAATATAAAGGGTTAGTGAAACAACAGTTGGTTCTTTGAAAGGATAAATACCACTGACAAAGTCTTATTTAATCAAAGCCTAAGAAAACAGAAAAAAGATGTAAATTAATCAAGTGAGAGGTGAAAACAAATGTCACAAAAGACATCACTGAAATACACAGGATCATTAGGCAACATTTTAAAAACTTATACTCAAGTGCATTGGAAAAACTAGAAGAAACAGACTATTTTCTAGATATATATGACCAAACAAAATTGATGCAAGAAGGTGAAAACTTAGACAGAACATTAATGAGCAATGAGATTAAAATAAGAATTTAAAAATCTCTCAACAAAGAAAAACCTAGTACTGGAAGATTCACTGCTGAATTCCGTCAGGCTTTAAAAAAAAGGACGGACAGACACACACACACAAACATAAACCAAGTTTCTTGATGAAAACAGAAGTTAAAAACTAGTTACAAACCAAATTCAACACATTAAGAAGGCCATATTTGATACTGGAATGGATTCATTCTGGGA